GAAATGAAAAAGAAAAAAAAGAAAAAGAAAAAAAAAACGAAAAGCAAATGCCGTATGCATCAAATCGGGGGGCTGCACCAATGAGGGGCCAACATCAAACGAAATATCCCAGACCTCAGCCTTGGAGATTTCCAAACCCCGCTTTGGGGGGCCTTTTACCCTTGATATGTATTGCTTTTTATTTTTATTTTTATTTTTTTACTTTTATTTGCTTTTTATTTTTCTGCGCCTCCTGTTATATACCCAGTTAGGCGAGTCCGTGGATATTATAGAGCTCCGATTAGTCCGAGGCGTCAATTGGATGGCAAGTGGAATGATAATAAGGGATTTGATAGTTAATCCGATGCATACACCTAGGTAATACGGAGTAGTATAATCAATAGTGCATATCCATGGATGTATAATCAAGAAGACAAAGGACCTGGGAATATACGTATCCCATCCTATTTATTCCTACCTGTATTATTTGTATAGTAGAGATAACTCGACGGGTTTGTGGGGTATAGGGGATTGTACTCCCCAATGTACAACTTCAAAGTACAACCTATGTACAACCTTAAGGATGTACTACTTTAATAAGGGGAAAATAGAAGGGAAATAGAGAACATTTACGCGAGATGTTTGTGTTGTTCGATCAGCATCTTCAGACATCTGTATGGACGGAGGTAACTAGGGCACGGTGCATCGGTGCATTGTTACTTCATACTGTTATTTTTCCCTTTTCCCTTTTCTTCTTTCTTTTCTTTTTCTTTTTTTTTTTTCTGATCACATTTTCTGGTTTTTATTTTCTACTCTTTTCTGAATTTCAATATTCCGATTTCCATATAGGGAGGGAAACAAGTAGGTTGAACTTCCCCTACTTTTTTTTCTTCTCAAATCTCTCTTTACCAATTATCCTCTCTCCCCGCAAAAAACTCCCTTTCCCCCCCCAAACCTCTCTTCCCTCCCACAACTCTATCCATATTTAGAGATCATCCTTTTTAACCTTGGCCTCTCTCTCTACTTTCTTAGATTTGACCTTTTCTCGATCTCACTCGGCACTGATTATCTCATCAGGGTCATAAACAACCTTGAAAGGTGGGCAACTCCCCCCGATCGCCCTTTTCTTTCTGTCATTGTGTGTAATGCACTCTTTATTTTCATTTCTTGGCCCCCCCCTTTTTTTTTTCCACAGTCTTCTGGATCTTCGTTTAATTCTCCGGAATCCATATCCGCTCAATCATCTGGAAAATCAGACTCTTTGATCCCTGTCTTACGAATCTGGTTTGGTTCGTGCACCCCTCCATCAGGAGCCGTTTCCAACCGGCTTATATCCTTTTCCCGTGAAGGTTGCTCCTCCTGACATCATTTCCGTTTCCCTCTCCACAATGTGATTGTGATATTCCCCTTTGGCTTCTGGACTTTTTATCACAAAACTTCTTTTATATGCCCCAATCAAAGTGGGAGAGCTGCCTGTCCTAGAGGCTTGTAGTACACCCATTCTTTGTCCTATCTTGCTCCTTGTATCCTCCTATTGGTGCCCCTCCCCCCCGGGTGCTCGTGGGCTTGATTTGACCTGACTGTTATGCATGTTTTGCGTCTGGATCGTCATACTGAGATTCTGATAGTAATAGCCGATCTGCTGTGCTGGGACACACTTCAGTGTCGTACGAGGCAAAAGTGTTGAGCCGTATTTCGCCTGATTTCAAGGAAATGTCCATTCGATCTGTATGCCAACTTATTTTTTTCGTTTATATTTTTCTTCTTCCCCCCACAGGCCAAGTTATCTTTTCTAACATCCTCAGAAAACCAAACCTTGACATAATAACCACTACGTGGACTCTTCGACTCTGAATAAGCACAACCCCAACCGAATGCGATGTCCTTATCAAAACCTACTTGGAATCATTTCGGTATCCATCAGCCGTTCCCGGAAAAGCAGAATCCGGTCGATTTTTACCGGGGCGCCATTTCCTCATCTTTTCTTTCTCCTGTGGCCCTTTCATTATCAGCTGCTTTCTCCCCAATCTCTTCCAACTCCGCCAACATGAATGCTCTCTCGGCAGACGAGATGGAACGCTTCCAGAAGCTTTCCAATAGCTACCAGCCGGAAGTCCAGGTATTTGGTTTCGATTATCCTGGACTGCAGCAATGGCTGACACCATGTCGACAGGGGCCCCTTGTCTCAACCAAACAGTCTAGTCACAGCATCGCCTTGGATTACTCGAATGCCGATCCAACTCTAGCTACGAAGACAAATGTAAGCTTTGGTAGCTTAGGCCTTCTATATTACTACAATGTGTCTTGCGTCTAACTTACTGCTTACAGGCGCTTGCTATCACCCATCCCGAATGCCGTATCATGAAAGGCGATGGGAATTGTGGTTGGAGAGGTATTGTCATCTTCATTTGATATTGAGGTATATCTCATGCTAATTCTATACAGCTGTGGCATTTGGCTATTTCGAGACCCTTTTCGCTCTCCGAGACACGCTCCGGATCGAGGCGGAGATTCGGAGAATGAAGTCTCTTACTACGCTTTTGGAACGGGTGGGCCTGTCGGATTCCATCTACGAGATCTTTGTCGATGCCACAGAAGATGTCCTCAGCCGAACACAGGCTGCTATCCAAAATGGCGCTCAAGACGAGTCTTTCCTTGTCGAGGCTTTTAATGAGGGTTACTGCTCTGATGCTATCATTACCCACTTCCGAGTAAGTTTTTCCCTTTGGATGATTCTTGCTCTCCAATTTTCTTGTTACTGTACGTAAACTGATTGTCTCGCCTTGCAGATTTTGACTAGTGCGTGGATGAAGCTCAACCCGAACCGGTACCAGGCTTTCCTTCCTATGCCACTGAACCAGTACTGCAGCTCGCGGATCGACCCGGTGAAGACCGAAATCGACGAAGTTGGCCTCCAGGCACTGATTGACGGCGTGATCGAAGGCTCCGGATTTGGCGTCGAAATTCTTTATCTCGACCGAAGTGAAGGCGACGTTGTGACACCCCACCAACTATCCTCTAATAGTCCCAATGGTGCAACAATCCGCCTCCTATACCGACCGTGAGTTAATTTAGCAGTTAACAAGTGTTGTACCGATTTAACATTCCACACAGAGGCCATTATGATCTCCTTTACCCAGTCGAAGCTTTGAATATGGCGCCCATAGTCAACCTCCAATACGGAATGACGTCCGACTACTCCTCCTGGGATCAAGCTGCTCTCGGGTTCGACGTTAATTCAAGCTTAATGGCCATTCCCAATCTGATGCAGGACACATCCTTTGGGATGGGCGCTCCTATGTCTCCAATGCCTTCCGTCTCGCCAACCCCCGCTAGTCCATTCCGAATGTCCCCACAACAAGACATGTACCAATCGCCTATGCCGACCCATGCACCCATTCCGTCGATTCCTGTCTCTCCTCCCCCTCAACTCCCTCCACCATCCTCCGCCCCACCACCGATGACTTCGTTGCCTAGTCGGTCATCAGACGGCCCGCAGATACGCCTGAATCCATTGGTGATGAAACCCAATCTCAGTCGCTCGTTGCCAGTCACGACGCCTTTCAAAAAGTGAGTTTTGTCGAAGTTATCCATAATACAATCGGTGTCGTTATTGACTTTTCTCTCTTAGCTCCCCGTATAACCAAGCCCATTTCCAGAATTCCGACTTTGAACCCATCCATTGGGAACCGCATGAACGAAGATAAAAAATTCGGGCATTCGTACATGACAAGAGCCATGGATCTCGTTTCCTTTCTCATTTCTTTTTCATAATGACCATCTTGGGTTAATTGGCTCGGCTCGTATCATGGTTTTGTCAAGCAGACTAGGTCAGCACATGTCTCTTTCGACCTCTTCCCTTTCGGGTCTAGGGATCGACTTCGTTCACATTTTCCCTCTTTCTTACCCCCTTCATCTTCCTCTACCTCTTCTCTCTTCTCAATGATTGTCCTCTTTAGCGTGGTGCAGCGCGTTGCATGGTACGAGCGTTCTCGCCCAGATTGTTTCTTTTCCATCGTTTTCAACCTCGGGGTCTTTTTTATTCTCTTTTCTTCTTCTCTTCATTTTTTTAGGGCTCTGGAACTGCAAGAAATGCATTACTATTGAACCATACCTATATTTAGATATACGAGCAGAATGTAAGGTTGCTAGTCGGGATACTAACTTCTATAGACTTTGTAGGTGTCCTTTTTTTCTACCCAATAGAATATTCCATAGATAGTGGAATATGACCTAGCCCAATTCTCTAGTCTTCATTCTAGTTCCCCATAGGATCCTTTCTTGGGCTCTTGGTTATTGGTACTGAGCGTCCAAACTCCTTCCTTTCATTTCCACACACAAAAAAACCTCCATCTTAGCAATACAATAACAAAACCGAACCGAGTGTCTGCTTCGATACCTTAAAACTACTCCATCGGGCATCCATTAACGTCCAACATTCAAGCAGGGAGTATCGCCGATCCAGACCTCGGAATCAAGCCGTCGACTTTTTCATTTACAATGTGGAGTCATTGATGGCCCCATATACACTTGATATTGAGAGGATTATCATCCCTGCTTCTCTGCTTCCTGATCTTCGGACCTCTCCCTCCTTTCGACACCGCCACATTAATAATGATGGGGGTTCACCCTGGTTCAATATTCTCGATGAAACTGATGCAAAGGCTACATGGAAATCGTTATGTCGACGTGTTCGATGTCAATCTCTTCCGCGATATTCCGGGAATCCTGGTACTTTGGTATTGTGCATGGGATAGGATCGTCACGCTCATTTCGGGTAGAGAGCTTGATGGGTGGATATCTTCCATATAGCCCCGGAGCCTTGCAGGACCCGGACTTTTATTTGATTGGATATCTTTTATTCAGGAATTTTTTAAATAATAAAGTACGTAAATGTGGATTTTATTTTATTTTTTCAAAAAGAAATTAAAAAAAGTACTTGATCGTCAAATTTAACATATGGAGATTCCTCGGGATGACGTCGGTCGAATGTGAATCAGTGTTCTAGAAGCCTGCAGGAGTCACTTCCCACTAAACAACCGATTCGGAAGTGCCCTAATCACCTGCCACAACACATAGAGAGTATCACTCCTTGCAGAACTAGCATATGCCGCCGGACGGGAAGGGATGTCTGCAGCGACGAGGATCGTATTCACCAGAGCGGCAGGGTAATGTTCACGCAGGTACCCAGCAACCAGGTCGTGTCCGTTTGTAATTCCGCCTAGAGACCAGTCTCAGCATGTACATCCACATCCAATTTGAACCAAGCACGACCCCTAATACCTCAAAAGCTAAAAAAAAAAAAAGAACATGAAAAAAAAACATGAAAAAAAACCTACCACTAGTCCACAAATTTCCATCCCTAGCAACCCTAACCGAATCATCCCATATCTTCGCCTCTGGAAATCTCCTCCTCATCTCAGGAATCAACAACCGCGGCGCCGTAACTTCCCTCCCCTTCACAATCCCTGCGTACCCGATAATAAATGCTCCGGTGCAGATACTCAAGATCGGCGTGTCGGCTGCGAAATGCGCGCGCACAAAGTCGAGATATTCTTCTGCTGGCGGCATAGCTTTCGGCGGGGGACCGGGGATTAGCAGGATATCCAACTTTCCGGGGGAAACGGCAGAGTCTGTGAGTGAGTCGGTTAATTGGAGGGACATCTGCGAGGTCGTGTTGACTGTTTTGTTTGGTCCGTTGTGGGCGATGTAGTGGATCTCGCAGGGTCGGCCTAGGTCGATCAACGGTTGGGGGAGAGAGCATTCTTGGAGGTATTCCGGAGTTGTCATGTAGAGGAGGTCAACGGCGGATAGGTCGAGGAGTTGGACGGTTCCTACTAGGAGGACGCCGATTCGGAGGGGGGTGGACATAGTTGTATGTATGATTGTGGGGTGGATGGAGGGAAGGAAGGTAAGGTTGAGCTCAATCTTGAAGTTTGGGATCTGGAAGTTTGACTCCGGCAGAGCGGGAATTTATCACATCGCTCTGGGAAGGTCAGATGCCGATTTTCTGCACCTGATGCTCCTTGGGAAACCACTATCCAGCAGACGACATGCGTCTGGAGGTCCGGCTGCTCCTCTTTGGCACTGGATCTGGTGAATTGCACGGGTTTTGGCAGTCCCCTGGCAAATTTGCGCATAATAGCGCAAGTTGGAAATTTTTTTTTTTTTTTTTTTTTTTTTTTAAATACAGTGAAGATGGGTTTCACATGGGCAGCACAGAGTGGAAATTCACCGTTGCAATGGTCCCGATTGAGGTATTCGCACATAATGAGTTCATCTTGTGACCCATCCCAATGAGTTTAAAACAATGTTGGAAACCAATTCAATCGACATACTCAATATTCTAATGATATTGAAGCCGAAAATGAAGGTTTCGTCATATATCGGACTAAACCCGAACCCGAAACTAGAATTCCCACCTGACGCCGTTCCCCACCGGGCTTGGGGGGCTTCGGGATGACGCTACCGAACTTCTGTAGGGGTTTGGCTTTTATTGGAATTTGTCTCTGATAATAAGAAAGGTGTTTGCTAATATTTAGTAGATAAATATGGTGTTTATATCGTCCCCTAAGTTGTGTTTACTTCAAGAAATCGAAATATGTGACCCCTTGACAAGGTTTCCCCGCAATATCAAAAAATCTCCCCGACCTCGGGAGAGTCCACCCACCCCAAATTCGGGGAAAGCCTGTGCCCCAGTTTCGGCCCTTCCCCCCCTTTTTTTCCTTTTCAGTTTGTGCGGAGTAGACCACTCCGCTGATATTCATTCTATCAGATGTGCCTTGTGCCTTGTGCCTTGCTCTCAGCTCTCGGAGTACTGTGTTCCTGCTTCATCTATACCCCAGACGGAGCACTGTCTTCCTAGACGGCAGAGAGAACTTCTTATACGTAGCTTGGAAAGCATCTTTATATAAAGCCTAGCGAACAGGGGCAATATCCCTTCTCACCGGCTCAGAGAATACTGGCATATCATGGCTACTGTTGGAGATAACAACCCCAAGGGCGGCTTCGCGCTTGTCCTACAGAATCCCTTTCTCTGTGGTGTAGCATCGGTAAGTGTCTGCTCTTGCATAAGGTGTTTCTGTTGATTTATTGACCGTAGAACAGTTCTCGACCCTGGGTGGTCTGTTATTTGGCTATGATCAAGGCGTGATTAGCGGTGTTATCACCATGGAGTCCTTTGGAGCTCGATACCCTCGTGTCTTTTCTGAAAGTGGCTTCAAGGGTTGGTTCGTGTCAACACTATTGCTTGCAGCTTGGGCTGGTTCCTTGATCAATGGACCTATCGCCGATCGATTCGGCCGGAAGATGTCCATCAATTTGGCAGTAGTGGTCTTCGTTATTGGTTCCGTTATCCAATGTGCTGCTATGAATGTCCCGATGCTGTTCGCTGGTAGAGCTATTGCTGGTTTGGCCGTTGGTCAACTGACCATGGTCGTGCCTCTGTATATTTCTGAGGTTTCTATTCCGGAGATTCGCGGGGGACTGGTGGTTCTACAGCAATGTAAGCTGTTCTCTAAAGTTGAGATATAACAGGTCGACTAATTTGCGTTTAGTATCCGTCACTCTCGGAATCTTGTTCAGTTATTGGATCGACTATGGAACGAACTACATCGGCGGCACCAGATGTGCTCCTGATATCCCATACTCCGGTGGTACAATTTCAAAGCCTATCTTCGACCCTTACCATGATGTTCCTACCGGTGGCTGTACTGGGCAGTCCGAGGTGTCATGGCGCCTCCCCCTCGCCCTGCAGATCGTTCCAGCAGTCATCCTGGGTATTGGAATGCTGTTCTTCCCAGACTCGCCCCGTTGGTTGTTGATGAAGGAGCGTGATGATGATTCGCTGCACGCACTCTCAAGACTGCGCCGCCAGGATCGCGATAGTTCTGTTCTCCTTAATGAGTACCTTGAAATCAAGGCCTCCATTATGTTGGAAAATTCCTTTGCGAGGGACAATTTCCCTAACCTGTCTGGATTCAAGTTGCACGTTGCTCAGGTTTGTTATAAAATCCCCCCTATAATTCGACTTCGCTAACACACTTTGCGCTAACACACTTTGAAAGTACATGTCCTTCTTCACAACATGGTCCCGCTTTAGACGGTTGGCTATTGGCTGCATCGTGATGTTCTTCCAACAATTCATGGGTTGTAATGGTATATAACTTCCACTACACCTCGTCCATCTATATACAGTATCTAAGTCATATAGCCATGATCTACTACGCACCTACGATCTTCGCCCAGCTCGGCCTGGATGGCAACACCAGCTCCCTCCTTGCTACTGGCGTTTACGGCATCGTCAACTGTCTTAGCACCCTTCCCGCTCTCTTCTTTATCGATAAAGTTGGTCGTCGACCTCTTCTCATGGCAGGCGCCGCGGGAACTTGCATCTCGCTGGTGGTGGTTGGCGGCATCCTGGGTGGCTTTGGTTCCTCGCTAGTGAGCAACAAATCCGCTGGTTGGGCTGGTATTGCCTTTATCTACATCTACGATATCAACTTCTCCTATTCATTCGGTAAGATCATGTTTTATACATTTTTTCTGCATTTATTCTCCAGCAACCAACTAACAAATTTTTCGCTATCAGCCCCTATCGGTTGGGTTCTACCTTCAGAGATCTTCAACCTCTCCATTAGATCCAAGGCCATCTCCATCACAACCTCGGCAACATGGATGTGCAACTTGTAAGTGGCAGTGGTCCTAGTCAGGCTATTTTATTCGAATCTAACAAACTACATCTTGCAGTATCATTGGCCTTGTCACCCCCGATATGCTCGAGTCCATCACATGGGGCACATACATCTTCTTTGCTGCCTTCTGTCTTCTTGCCTTTGCGTTCACCTTCTTCTTCATCCCTGAAACTCGTGGAAAGGTACGTTAAGCAACCCTATATTCCAAAGTGGACTCACCATCCATGAAATATTGACCAGGCTAACTATTTTTTTAACAGACACTCGAAGATATGGATCTCATTTTCGGTGACACAGCCGCCCATGAGGAAAAAAAGCGCATAAAGCACATTGAAGCCGAGTTGCGCGGAACACCGATTGAAGAAGATGATCTTATCAAACCAGTCGATTCGCATGTGGAACAGGCATGAACGCCAAGGTGCAATGCAAAGAACTTACGACGCAAAGACCAACATTACGCGTATATGATAACTTATGGCATAGGGTGGCACACACTTTATATCAAATCCAACTGTAATAACTGTGTTCCACACAACCAGTGCGTAGAAAATTGAGTCTTTCTTCCTTCATTTGGTGGTTACCACACCAGCTATCTCGCTTTTAAGGCTATAGACTTCGTTATCCTGTACGAATTCAAGATCGTAGACTTAGGCTTACTTGAGGTAATTAAAACTAACATATACTAGGCTTATCTTACTAGCCTTCTTTTTTATACCGTTGTCTTGTGTGCTTGGCATTATGACTGTTCAGTAAATGGATCTTGGCCGAACCCATACTGCTGCATGAAGTGTACAACGTTCTTTGCAAATTTCTGTCTCTTTGTCTCAGTTGCAGCAATCTCGCCAAATAAAAGTTGTGTATCAGTGCCATCGTCAGAGAAAATTCAGCCGCCAGTATTAACATAAACAGAGATGTCCTCCTTGATGGACTTGACATTTATGGTGTCTTTGAACGGACTAGCAGGAGTTGCTGAGTCTATTGTAACAACCTGGCAAGTCAACGGATTAATGGAGCCAAAAGCAAAGTTGACACGTATTGGGGCAGCCAAAGGTAGATCTGTAGGGGTCATCTTGTGACAGCTCCTACGAGCCATCCAAGCCTCGTGGTATCCAATTACTCTCCTCTGTAGCATGCTAGTCGAAGAAATATCAATAGCTTGAATTACCTCATCTTTTATGCAGACTTTTATACTCTCATCTATGAAGGAGCTGCTTTGCCTGTTAGTTATAGCTATATATGCAGGGTGGATACACGTTGCCAAATCTAGCTAACAACCGTTTATTCTATTCTGTTTTCATCCTGGGGTAATAAGCGGAGTTTAGCACTAAATTATATTGAAACATGCATATATTCCAGTTTCGAATTTGACAAGGGTTCATTCCTCCATCTATCCACTTTTTAGCCCTAAAAAAGAATGCAAGGCTCATGAAAAACCGCTTGAGCACCATACCATACCCGATTAAGCGGCAAATACTCCACCTAGAGTATTGCTTTCTGTAGACTAACGGACTTTCGGATCTCGCCGAACGTCCCATGTAGAGAGAAATCTAAATTTTCGAAGACCCATTCGAAATTTCCGCGTATTGAACTAGTTTCATGATTGCTCCGAGCACAAACTATACGCTGTTTTTTTTTTTAATTCACTTCATTGATAAGAGGCAGTTTCGGAAATGATTCGCTTTTTTTTCCTGCCTGTTTATTCCTGCCTTGTGATTTTTCTATCCGATAAATTGCATCTCTTTCTTTCATTGATACTCTCGGCTGGAAGGCCTCACGCTGGATCTAAATCTGTCGGGTAAAGGTATATCAATCTACCCCAATCTGTTTGGATGAGAGGAAACATGCAAATTCAATGTGTTGCCCTAGTGGCCTTGGTGATTGGCCAAAATTGCGGTTTTATCATTTTAGAAGAATCACAAACCTACGGCCTGAGGTGAATGCATTGTCGTACAGTCAGATTTCTGTCCATTTCGCTAGCAGCCTCTTCTGAAACTGGATACTTGTCCGGCAGAATAGTCAAAACTGTACATACTAGGACGAGCATTTACACATTGTACTACATAATGTAGGCAATGAAAAACGGTAACTAAGGCTTTCCTGCTACTATAGCGCACTGGCGGTAATACATCTTATCATCTTTGCTTCTAAGTGATGCTTGAAGCCTCATTTTCAATACTTAACACTTTGTCCTTCCTACCTCTCCCCTTGCTCTTCACCTGTCTCCCATGCTCCCTGGATTAAATTGATCCAGTCAAACCTCCAAACCTCGGACAGATACGATTTGGTTACAAAATGCTAAACAGGAGCATGGTGCCTATGACTAGAAATCTATTATTCAGACCCCAGACACTCATTTCTCGGTCCGGAACCTGAAAATCTCTACTCGACAGAGTGCGATTCCTCTTACTGGCATCAATCGGCCCTCACTGAAGCGCCGAGATTTTAAACAAGAATATTAAATCCAAAGGATGACATCAGATCATTCAGACATTCTTCATGTAAAAGCTATAGCGGCACTGGCCAGATTGAGGAGTAGGGGCCCGCCTGAAAACCCATCCAAACGGACACCTGAGCGTGAGTCCTCACACAACACCGCCGATTGCCTCAAGAAAGATTTGAACAAGGCTGGTTTCCAATCTTGGGGCTCTCCTATCTATTGATGCACATACCAGAGTGTTTCTGACTGGGCAGGGTTCTTTGTTGATGAAGAGTCGTTACAAAGTGTTCTCCAAACCTCTTGAGGACTGCTTCAATAAAAATGCTTTTGTAAATATGCTCAATGGGTGGTGGAAAGAAGAGTCACTTGACGGCCACGATCCCGAAGATTTAGAAGACGATGAGCTAGAGGCTGTACTTCAGGAGCTCAAAGGTTACGATCCTATCGAAGGATATACCGTGAAGGACGTTGGGTGGATTATCTCTTTTCTCAGCTGGGCGAGCTTGATGAATGGGATAGATATTACGTGCGTCCTTCTGGAATTTGTGACTACATTTAGTAGCCCTGAATACAATAGTCCAGCCAGCTGCCTAAATGAAACAGTAAGACTAGTTTAACGATGTAGTCAACCGTGAGATAACCCCGGTTAAATCCGTGATCTCTGTTATAAGAGTAAAATTAACTTCCCGCTTCTAATAATAGAAACTCTCCGAGCAGCACGCCCTAGGGATCCTATATACATGGGTATTTTTATGAATTTTTATCCAAAGAACTGGGTTGTATATTTTCAGATGACTGCTTCAACATATTTGAAGTATTCGCTAATACCCATACTTATATCACCATCTCCAAAAGAAATCCTTAACTTCCATTTTCCCATATACTCATCATCCTACAATGCAAGATACATACAGAAAAAAAAAAGAAATCAACGAAAGCATAGTCATTCATTCTTCATTCTGCGGGGGGGAAATTAACCCATTCAGAAAAGTCCATGCCACCCGTATTCATCTGCAAGTGCTGCTCAACTGGGAACAGGCTTCCAAATCCGGGATCACTGAAGAGCTGCTCGGGGAACGGCATCATGTTAGGCAGTGGTTGCTGGGGCATGTGCTGGTGCTGGTGTTGCTGGGGGTTGAGCTGGTCTCCGTCGGTTGGGAGTCCCTGTGGCACTGGGTGCGTGGGTGGGCCGAGGAGTCGGTTGATAACTTCGAAACAGCGGGTTGCGAAGCGGTTTGTGCCGAGGGAGGGGTGGGTTAGAAGTGATTTTGTGGTTTCAATATCCTGGAGCCAGGAGGCGGCTTCGGGGTTTGAGGGGTCGGTCATCAGGAAGACTATGGGGATGAGACCTGCTTGGAAGAGGAAGTAGCTTTTTTTTAATGTGAGATGTCATTCTTGTAGAGTATTGGATATGGGGAAATACGTACAGCATATACCATGCCCCAAGTCTGGTACACATATAGTTCGCCATGTACTCCGAAATGGAAGAGATGGTCAGACGCGCGTTCTCGAGACAGCGCAATCGACACTCCGTCTCGAAGGGATCTTCAGACCCTGCATCCGGGGTGCCTGGGCCGCTGCCGGTAAGTGGGGCCCAGCGTCTAGCGGCCCAGCGGAGTAGGATTGGTCTGTAGATCAGAATGGTGAGGTTCCAGTTTCGCCATAACAGGCGGTTGCGCACGAGTGCGAGAGAGTCCGGGTCTGGATGGGTTGGCTGCATGGAGAGAGGCAACTGCGGGAGTTGGAGGTAGGACGGAAGACTGTTGTACCATTCTTCGATGGGTTTTTGCAGGTTCAGTGTGTCTTCTGGGGTGAGGCTGGGGCTTGAAATGAGGCGTTGGTAGACGCTGTTGGTAAGGAGGTGGAAGCTAGCCTGGGCAATTAAGCCAGAATAGATTGTTGGGCCGGGTGATTCGGCCGGCAAAGTTGTTGTTGTGGGGGTCAATGCCTGTAATTTATTAGTTACAGCTGCTTTTTTTACGTTTTATATTAGTTGTAAGTACCTCTTCGTGGATATTTCGAACCTGCTTCGCATCCATGACACTGTCCTCTGGGAGGAGGATCGGTCTTCCAAATGTTTTGGCTGCGCCGCTGTCGAAGATGAAAACTCCCCACCACAATCTTCTGCGGATTTCTCTTTGTAGGAGACTGATCTTCCAGCCAGGAAACTCCTTGTGAAGACCCAAGCTCATGGCCATTCGAACTGCTAGACCAAGGTAGTTCCATCCGGTGTTGGGCTTGTTCCGTTTCTGTGCATAGTTGCTCAATAACAATAATCCTTGGACCAATGTCAAATTGCCAGTCTCAAACACAGATGCCTGCTGCAAGTATCCTCTGGCTTCTTGGTAGAATGTGATGTCGAGGTCTGAGCTGTCATCCCCGATACACCAGGCTCCAAGAGCTAATATCGTGTTTAAGAGGATATGCCAGGCGTTACCATGTGGGCGTAGAGATGGGTCGTTAAACTGCATCCGGAAGGTAGGCTCGTGAATAAATGGATAGCTGGTATGATAATTGAGGAAGAAAGCGTCGATGAACGCTTGTTCGATCAGTCCAGATGGGGCACTTTCCAGAAGCTGTGCTTTCAGGGGCACGCCTCCTGACCTTGCCGACCGCACAGGTATGTTTAGATCAAATCCATGATCAAAAAGTGCTCGTAATGGTACGACACTTGAAGACGCTCCTGTGATCTATGTGTCAGTATGGAAAACGACAAGCATAATCCATAATGGATATTGAACGGACTGACCAAAGTAGCCAGCTCCTTCGGGCTTAATAGACAGCGCAGCCATGCCGTCTGTCAAATCACCAAGCGTAATTTCTTTTTCGGCCCAATCAAAGCCATCGGCTTGCTGTGGGAGAGCTTCTGGTGCTGGCTCGGCCCGTTCTGGCTCATGTTTGGGGGTTGAGTGCCTGGAAGAGGACTTTGATGAAGGGGCCCTTGGGACCTCTGGGTTTTGCAAAAGTGAACGGAGTGTAGCATCCAGATCACCACCTGGGAAAAGCCTTCCCAGGGCTGTTTCAAATGAGTGTAGGCGATCTTCAACATAGGTTAAGTGTCTGAAGTGGTCAAGTTAGTCTTGTCTTCAAATACAAAACATGTTCGATTCTGGTCACTTACTGCCGAGTCAGAGGACTTCTGCTGACTTTGGGGCTGTATATACATTCTTTGTTCAGCTGTCGGCATTGCAGACAGACTGGTCGCTCTTTTGAGCACTATAAAACCCGGGTTAGATGAGGCAAGGCCTGCAAGCGTTTAATAAAGAAGCCACTTACTCTTGACTTGCGCAAGCGGCATTCGTCGCACTATTTGAACAGTCAGACTTCAACTCTGGCAGTTTATCCCTCAGCTATCATGCAAACGGATCAATACATACAGCAAATGAGTGAGAATCACGAGTGCTAGCCATCTTTATCGAGGTAAGTTGGATGTCTGGTATCTTGTATCCAATGCGCTATGATCATGCCATACAACGGCAGTCATCTGTATAAAAAGTTAGCTAATTAATGCATTTGATATAATGCACAGAAAATGCTTCGCAGGAAGACCCCCACACCGGGTATAATGTATAGCACACGAACAGGGTAGGGCTGGGATGCATATACACATAGCGGTGTGTAAGTTATCTCTAGAATGGAAAATGTACTCACGATCGGCACTAGAGCACAGCCTCTTGCAATGCGATGGATAAGATGCATCCATCGCTCCCCTCGATGGTGGGGAAACCGGTCAGGTGATCCGTGCAGAAAAATCATATTGGTGCCTCAGGCAGACACCTTTTTTATAACTTTAATCGCAGTCCTTGACTGTTTGGTATGTTATTTCAGGACTCTGATGTTGCGTTATTTGTAGTTTGACTTTTATTAACCGCATCAATTGGGATTTCGAAAGCATGGTGTGAACATTGAGCGGGAAGTATACAACAGGAACTATATATATTGTTTGGATAAATCCTTCTGACAACATTTAATCCGGAGATCTTGAGTAGGAAATAGCCGGAAACTGAAATATAGGTTGCCAATTATATTGTCTTGATACCCAAGAGAAGATAAACCGAGAAATAACAAGAGAAATCAAATCCCATGCAATATCATCTCGAAATCCTATGTCTTGGCATGGCTGGATACCGGAGGGGCCAATCACAAGCTGGAGACATTTTTTCTCGACATCATCTCCACGACTTGATCAGCAGCAACACTTCCAAACAAAGACTCAATAATTGGAGAAGAAAAGGTGGAATCTGACTTAGTCCTTCTTTAACCTGCCAGGAACAAAGGACGGCATTGATATCTGCATCGAGGCGCAATCATGCCCTCTCAACCCCCACTACCGCCCCTCCTTGCTCCATATGTATCAAATCTGCCCGACTCATCTCTGACGCTAGTCTCTTCTATACTTGGTGCGACTTCAAACTGGTTGGTCCTGAGATTTCTTCATGCTGCGCTGAGCTCGCCGAGCCCCAATGTGGCATTTGGCTCAGATGAGCTGCACAATGGCATCAAGAAGAAAGTGGTGCTGGTAAGCTTCATGCGGAGTTATGAGTTCTGGAGGACCGAGGCAAAGCGACTGGTAAGTTCAGCCAACAGATTGACTGATGTTTGAATTTGGAACATGCATTTGCGTTCCATTTCTTATATTACTCATGTATTGATACATACCTTGATCGAACATCATTAACCAGGTTTCTAGGGACTTGACCTTGCACGTCTGGCAGATAAGCAACAATTTGCATTCGTAGATGGCCTGTCTGAGCTGTTCTACGCACCGCAAGCCACAGCAACTCCTCCCAGTATCTCACCGGCTGGTCTGGGAAGCAGCCCACGCACAACGCTTCCAATGCGGTCTACACCTGGTGCCGTACCTGGAAGGTCACCACAGCCGGTGGCACCAACAGCCACAGGAGTTCGAGGAAATGTGACGCCGAAGCAGGCTGAACCTGGGATTGCAAAGAAGCTTCATTTCTCTGGCCGTGGTCTTGCCTCCCTTGATGCACTGGAGAAAGATATCCTATCAGTGATTGAACAGCAAAAGAGTTCAATGGAAGATGGTGATGAGGTTCTCCTCATTATAGACCAGCCTGACCTGCTCCTTGCTGCGACAGGTCCAAGTATGGGAATCGGAGCAACAGAGATGTCGGAGTGGATCACAGCGCTACAACAGGTAAGGCCTTACCACTTTCTGATAGGCAAAATCAAGGTTTACGGTTACGACAGGGCTGACTATTTGTTCGACAGCATGCACATGCTACGGTTTTGACGTTAGCTACGGATGCCCCATTAATACACAATGCATCTACATTGGGAGAGCAGCTGGCTACGCCAATAGAGACAGAACATGCAGCACTTGTCATTGGGCTGGCGCATCGGGCTTGGTCGGTCATGCAGCTCCGCACTTTGGATACTGGAGCCGCAAAAGATGTGAGCGGGGTACTGAGAATCAGCCGAGGTGGTGGGCTGAACACGAGTGAAGATGAGAGCCTGGAAGAGCGAGAGGCGTTGTACTTCATTCAACGGGATGGCGGTGTCAAGGTGTTTGGCCGTGGAGAATCATGAGTCGAGACTGTATACTATGGGTTAGATGTTCGCTAGAGCCACGAGCTTATTCGTAACAGCCATTGAATCATGTCCAATTCAAGTATCTGCGTCTTTTCAATCGAAGAGCCTCGTACTGAGTAGAACAGACCATGAAATGGTAGGAAGAGTCTTCACATTGTATCTGTCATGACATGGGATATTCGCCAGCCATAAACGAAAAAAAGGAAATTCATTCACGCTTTCCCAGGGTTTTTTTAATCCAGCTCTTTTCCGTAGAAAAGAGCCCCTCAACGAAACTTTTCCCATCGTCTCGCAAGTTCTACTTTGTCATCCTTGGCGTGGCAAAGAGAACCAACGTGATCGACAGTTGCACACACCAACAACTCCACGGGAAAACGATAAGAGTCCGGAACTGCCATTGCATTTCGAGTAATGCTATCCCGTAATGCTAATTCATGTCATGCCAGGATCCCTCCCCTCATTCCTATTCCAGCCTCTCCGATAACGAAAACGCGACGCCGAGCGGACGAAAAGGGAATCTAGTTGGTGACGGGGCCACGGGCACCCTTGGGGGTACCGGTCTGGAAGCCGTTAAGGAAGCGGCGGTGGACATCGCGCAGGGAGCGCATGCGGCCGGAGCCGGTGGTCTTGCGGCGCTTGGCCTTCTCACCCCAGTTGACTGTTCGAAAGAAAAAAAAATCCATGTAAGCCAGAGTTCTTGACTTGGTGCCCAAATTCCAAATAATGGCCACCATTCATATCACCAAAGTTCTCAGAAGGGGTATTTGCGTACACTTGCGGGTCTTGGCAGCAGGGTAGCCGCAGTTGGCACAAGTCGACTTCTGGATGTGGAAAGACCGCTTGCCTGTAGAGTCGTAGATATCACCGGTTAGCCCTTGTCCTTGCTAGGTTGTGTGGTTGTCTTCGCCGTAATCGCTAATTCCGTCTTTCGATGTAGAAATTTGCGACTGCGGGTCGGATGGGTGGGATCGTGAAAAATAGATGTAATACGTACCACAACGACGGCACAGAGTGTGCGTCTTGTTGTGGCGCTTTCCGAAGCTCGAGGTACCCTTAGCTGTGGCGGTTGTTAGTTTGAAGTTATTGGACGCTGCGGAGGATCGCGGTGCGATGTTTCGGCATCGGACGTACTCATCTTGAATTATGGAACTGTGGACGAGGATATATGTTAGTAAATTGACGGGGGTGAAGTGAGCACTGGTGAAGGGACCAGCATGCGGACGTACCTGGCAATTCCGTTGAAGGGGCTGGTTGTCGGGTCGTCGTCGCTAAGCGTCTCGAAACTTGCCCAAGATCTGGCGATTGTGCTCTAAGCGAGTGCGTTAGTCAATCACGTGGACCCATCAGGGCTTTCCTGGATCCCGTGACCGACTAACCCTCATTGGATTTAGATGGTCTGTGCTGATACAAAATCACGTGACTCAATTTCGTCTTGGAAAGCCAACCAATTACAGAGTTGTATGCATCCATCATTGATTCGTATTCAGTTTATTTCATTTATGCATATTATCTTGAGGTGGGGGATTTACAACTACACCAGAAAGAGGTGTTTAAAAGATACTGGGTTGTGCATTTGTTTACTGTTTAAGCAGCATATCAAGAGGGTATTTTAGTACATCCGAACGCCCATGCAAGTAGTATATGTAGAACATCATCAGAATCAATCTTTCCCTAAAAACTTCGCCATAGGATCCTCAGCAGCCAACCGGCTCCGCTTGTATGACTCATATTCCTCCTCTGTGACGCCTGACTTCAATTCTTCCAGCGTCCGCTTTTTCCCATTGGTATTTGAATCTTGCTCTTGATCCTTGCCGTCGGCTTGCTCAGACTCGCGAGCGGGATCCGCATTTCCAGCGTTCTCGGAAACCTGGTCATTGTCGTCGGCTGCTCCAGTCATCAATAACATGTTGCCTTCTTCCTCAAAGGCCTTCTTTCCATCTTCCCCTGTACAGTAACTGTTCTTCACAGTGGAACAACAGCATGCATATCCCCATTTGAATTGGTACCACCAGCTGCCGAAGACCGAAGCATGATTGTTGACCATCACATCTTCCGGGTATTTGGATTTGGTTGCGTTCTTGGGCGCGCCTTTGATGGCACCGCTCTCGTCATATTCAATGAATCGCTCGTTTTCAACGACCATCGTCTCTCGCAGCGCACTTGGTTTCGAGTGCTCCCCACCACCGTATTTATCCAGGAGAGCTTTACGATGCGCCTCGCGCTTAGCTTCAGTATCAACCATCTCCTTCTTTCGGAGAACTTCTCCAGATGTCGGATTGGCTTGAATATGTAGTTGAGGGAGACCCTTCTCTTGTGACTCCCACGCATATTGCTGGGCTTTCTCGAACTCAGCAGCATCGCCCGAAGCACGGACGAAATTCTCCTCGGCAACAAGTGCAGCGGCTTGATCATCCTGTGCACCCATGTCCACCATTCGGCGTGTCTTCGGGTCGTATTTGGCGGAATCAAGGTCTAAGTTGAGCAGGTATTTGGCGGTATCTTCTCGAATACGTAGGTTGCGGGTTGCGGTACTCTGTTGTCGTCCCATGTCGGATTCTTCGGCGTACCGGATATCCGAATCGGGGGCTTCATCGCCATCTTCACCGGCTTGAAGTTTTTTGAGATTTGAATCATCCTTCGCCATTCGCTTGATGGCCTCCATCTCTTCATATTCTTCGACGACCTGGCGATATTCGGTGGCATCGTAGCCGTTCCACCTATCTCTTTTGGCGTCCCACCCCATATCGACCTTTTGGACAAGTTCGTCTGCCTGAATATCCTTTCCAGTCCATCTGGCGCCTTGCTTTCGGGGTCGACTCAGACACTCTTTGGTTTTGTGTGTCATCGCGCCGCAGTTTTCACATGCGCCTTTGCGGTATTTGGTGGCTGCTGGGCCCGCACGCTTTCCTCGATCATACCATTTTGTCTGATCAGGAATCGCCTTTTGGAGACGTTGATGTTCCAGGTAGTCGTTATTTGTCTCATCGTCGACGTAGAACGGCTTTTTCGAGATGAAGGATGGAATGTACTCGTTGGGCGTTTTTGACGCCACATCCGCAGGCTTTCGCGACATGACTGGTAGGTTCAATCGGGAAGGCACGAGCTTTAATTAGGAAAGAAAGGGAAGTAAGTGAGAAAGTAGATCGAGTCACCTGTAGCTCTTGTCGTGAGATGAAGGAGTGAAGTTGCGATAGGCGTGGTGGGTGGAGAATTGATATGAATCACGTGACTAGGCGTTATCTCGCGTCGTCATGGACTTAAGATCGGTCGCGTTTCTCAACTATTTTTTACTGAGATGCCAAACAGGACACACATGCAATAAGCGGTGCGTGAACCATTTATCCTTCGCAATGTTGCTGTGGCTTCTGGTTGCCACACACCAGAGCGATGGAGCCATTCCGCGTGCGTCTCAACTGTATCGATCATTACCAGGCGACCGCGTCGGAGTTGGATCCTCCACTGCCTTTTCGTGATGAGGTCTCAGAGAAAGATTTTAAGCCCAAGGTGCCTGTCATTCGGATATTTGGAGCCACCGAGACTGGCCAAAGAGTTTGCGTACATGTCCATGGCGCGTTTCCATACCTCTACATTGAATACAACGGATCCTTGGCGCCAGAAGATGGTTAGTGATAGCCATATTCATGATTTGATGAGTTGACTTACCAAATTGTAGTAAACTCGGCAATTAGAACTCTTCACCTCTCAATTGATCATGCTCTGGCGGTCAGTTTTCGCCGAAATGCATATGACCGGAGGACAGCGTTTGTGGCGCACATCACCTTGGTGAAAGGAGTCCCGTTCTACGGATACCATGTGGGATGGCGGTTCTTCTTCAAAATTTACCTCTTAAACCCCTTCCATACAACTCGCCTGGTTGATCTTCTGCACCAGGGAGCTGTGATGAAACGTCCGCTTCAACCCTACGAGGCACATGTGCAATACATCCCGCAATGGATGTGTGACTACAACTTATACGGATGTGCAACCATGAACTGTAGTCAAATCAAGTTCCGAGCACCGGTGCCTGAGTATTTCGAGCTCAGCAACCTAGCCCATCGCTGGCACGATCGTTCAATCCCACCCGAGAGCATACTCGATCACCCTGCATTACAGAAGCAAAGCAATTGCGCGTTGGAGGTTGATATCTGTGTTCAAGATATCCTAAACCGCCTTGATGTAAAGGAACGACCTTTACACCATGATTTCACTGAGCTTTTGAAACCTGTCGCGGTTAACGAGCGGCTCGTTCCTAGCATGGCTGGACTGTGGCAGGATGAAACTCGCAGACGTAAAAAGAGGATGGGCATTATTGATCCCGGAAGCACCCCGTTTAGACCCGAGGAATTGGTTTCAATGTCTGCGGATCCAAGAGATCAGTCGAGAAGTGGTTGGATACACGAGGAAGAATTTCGTGAGATGGCTGCTCAACTTGCTGCTAATGATAAACATCAAGATGGCAACAACGATACGTCATTTGGGACATTCTTGGATACCGACGATCTAGCCAAAAATGTCAAGACTGCGTTGGATAGTGTTGAGGACTTCTTTCCTGACAAAATCAGTACTTTGGCCTTTGATAGCAGCCTTTCCCAACAATCAGGCGGGCGAAAAGCACCGGAAATCTCGGTTGATGAGAGTCTCGCTTTGTCCTCTCAAAATGACGGACAGTATTACTCAGATTCTGATCAAGGAGGGAACCTATTGGAAGGGAGAACCGAACAGGATCCTGAAGCGAAAGAGGACCTGCTGGGCGAGAGCTTTTATGATGAGGTCTTTGACGAAATGCCCTTTTCAGATGTGGCTGCACCTGCGGAGCCTGCTGAAACCAGCAACCCCAAAGTAACTATGGATGGTGTCTACAAGGAAGGAATTTCTGTAGCCCAAGAAAAAAGGCCCAGAGTCCTGAGTCAAAGCAGAAGTGTAGCCCCTAAAAGACAACACTTCGAAACTCTCGATTCCCCCCATTCGCCTACCAAAAGACCTAGACATATGGCCAAACACGGTTTGTCCGACGGGCCATTGGAATCACACAACACGCGGAAGCACCAGCAAGATGACAAACAGAAAAACGTCTCCTTTGATAGCAAGTTGGATTCGCACGCGGAAACCCCGTCATCAGAACCAAAATCATCTTCCTCACAGAGGACAGTCCGTCCAAAGGCGCATAGTTACACCAGCGGTTTGAAATTCCCGGTAGTCAAGGACCCCAGTGATCCTTTGACCATTTTGCGCTACAGCCAAGATGAGGCAAATTCTTCAAGAAAAGACCTCGAATCATCCCAAGACCTCTTTTCTTTCCCTTCCGGATCCGCCACGGAATTGTCAGGCGAAACTAGTGAAACTCAGAGATCCTCAGAGTTACAGTCTGCAACAGTGATGTGTCCGGTCTCTCTCGATCCGCATCTCGCCGAAACCATGAAAAACTGTCGTCAATCATTCAATTTCACGCCAAACCGGTCATTACGTTTCTTCAAATTTGCTAGCCCAACTTCCACCGAAGTCAGTTCGACATTAAATGAACATGGGCGTCCTTCTGTTGTATACCAAAAAGCATTTTACAGTGATGAAATGGATGTGCCTGAACGACCAAGAGAATATGGTGGCAGAGAATTTCGGCTAGAGAGCAACACAATTCACTATCTACCCGATTTTGACCCAACGGCAGAGGGACCTGCAATGTTTGGTGAGCAGATACCAGCAACACACGACCGAGATCAGCAAGGAAAGGTTGATCAGCAACTCCGAGAAAGGTGTACCGCTAGGGTCTGGGAGTTTGCACCTGTTCCGCCAAGTCGGTCGGAGGTCCTACAGTGGTTTGAAGAGTTGGAGGCCTCGCAAGAACTTAACCAAAAAGCAGCCCAAACCGTACCTGCTCAAATGAAATCAGACCACCTCTCGCAGATCGAGGGCCCCACACAGAAGAACGCACATGGCTTCAAATACTCACAGCATGGAGTGTCCACTAGCGTGGAACATCAAGCTCAGCACATGAGCACAATGAGCTTAGAAGTGCATGTGAACACGCGCGGAACTCTCATGGCCAACCCCGAAGAGGACGAGATCACTTCCTTCTTCTGGTGCATCCAATCCGAAGATGAGGATCTTGAAGTCAATAGTCATCTTCCAGGAGTTCATGTTGGGATGGTTTACCACGGCGAAGGCGAGAGGCCGGAAGCCAAAATTTCCAAGGCATTGACAATTGATGTCGAGTGCGAGCCAACGGAACTGGACCTGATAAACCGACTCATAGACATTGTCCGGTACCATGATCCAGATATAATCGCGGGCTACGAGGTTCACAACGCTTCCTGGGGATACGTGATTGAGCGAGCGCGCAAGAAGTACGACTTTAACATCTGCGAGGAACTTTCAAGAACCAAAT